GGTTGTAATCTATTGCTACAACTCTGGCTGCTGGAACACTTTTTTAGGGGTGAGTATCATCAACAGCTTCTGCGAAGGCCACTGAACGACGACATAGCCAGTCTTCACCCAAAGAAAGTGATGTTCATTCTAGACAGGTTTGAAAAGCCTGGAAATGCAGGTTGGGTATGTTTCTTCAGCAATTTGATAGACGAGCAAGTGCATTGGATGTTTAAATGGTTTCCTAGTAGTGATTTCATCATCAGATCAAAAGGGACTACTCATTTGGTACTAATCGGGCTGCGAGGCATCTACCCTTACTCTCCTTTAAGGGTAATGAGGCAAGTTGGAAGAAAACAAGTCATACCTCGGGTGTCTAACATGGTTCAATACAAGGCAGATTTCAAGGGAGATGTCATCCTATTCAAGTTCAAAGCGCAATACATGTGGAACCAAAAGATCATTGTGGAAGGAGAAACTATTGAGCAAGACAGGTATCACGACGATCATATGTACTACTATCTATCATGGTTGTAAGATGACATAGCTAGGGACATCAAACCAAGAGTCAATCTGAAGGATAGGATCATAGATGAAGTAGCTAAGGCACGGGTGAAGTACAAGAGGTTACGCAAAAAGGGTGTTCGAGTCCGAATCTAAGAATCTGGAGCAACAAGTAAACATGGAGGCGATAAGGAAATGGAACGAGATTGGCACTAAGTCGACAAATTTATTAGAATACTTGGAGCAATGACTGATGGAGCTACAAGAGAAGATAAGAAAGAGATTTGGGATTGTCAAGGCATGGACGACGATGAAGGAGGAAAGCTGGAAAAAGCTTACTTATTGTTGGACATGCGCGATCTGGGGAACATGATTGATGGGGTCAAGAGAGCCAAGCATGGAGAAGGTCCTTCAGGGACCAAGTAGATTAGGAGATGATGTTCTTTACTGCTTTCTAGTTTATATTAGATTTCGATGTAATAAGACTTAATTCCATTAATGATTTTATTATTATTTTTGTCGACTTAGTAAAGGATTGTTTTGGCTCATTTTCGCACTAATGAAATAAAGCAAAAGTTGGCATCAATTTTGGCACTAATATTTATGACTTGTCTGCAAAATTAGGTAAAAAACGGAGTTGGTTTGACGTGATTCGGACGTCATGTATTGAAATAGAAGTTCTTAAGTTTCATTTGATTTGGTGTCCAATTCGTAGTTCTAGGTGTTATTTTGGTGTTTTGATCGCGCGAGAGAGTTTGTATCTTTGGACTTGTGTGCATGTTTGGTTTGGAGCCCCGTGGGCTTGGGTGAGTTTCGGATAGGCTACGAAAGGTTTTTGGCTTAGAACCATAGCTGAGGCCTTTGTGCTTCTGGTGTCTTCTGCAGACTTTGCAATTGCAAGGTCTGGCTCGCAAATGCGAGGCAAATATCGCATTTGCGAACAGGGGCTGGGGGGTTGGCGTTCGCATTTGCGAAGGCAGCAGGAATGTGGAGATTTTGCATTCGCAAAGGATTATTCGCATTTGTGGGGTTCGTAATTGCGAACCCTAGGTCGCAATTGCGACATCTGCGCCTGGTCAAAAGTTGAGTTAGACGGTATTTTCCTCATTCTTTCAAATTTCCAACCCTAGAAATCTTAGAGGCAATTTTTCTAAGAACTCTTCTTCCCCAATTCATTGGTATGTGATTCTAACTTACTTTCTTTCAATTACCCATTACATTTCATAAGATTCCAACCTAAAATCTAGGATTTTCATGGTAGAAATTGGGGATTTGGGTAGGATTAGGGATTTTCGTAAAATTAGAATTTAAACCTCGAATTAAGGTTGGATTTCAAAATAAATTACATAATCGGGCTCGGGGTGAATGAGTAATTGGGGTTTGGTCCGAATTTCGGGTTTGGACAAAGCGGGCCTGGGAGTTGACTTTTGTTGACTTTTTCAATAATGACCTAAATTGAACATCTTTCATTTGTGGGTAGTTTTTAAGGATTATTTTGAATCGTTTGGTTGTTAAATTGCTAGATTTGATTGGTTCGGGGGCTTGTTCAAAGGCAAAGTCGTGGTTGAGTTTTGAATCGATTTTGGAGCGAGGTAAGTGTTGAGTTTAACCTTGATTTGAGGGAATTAGGAACCGTCGGACTATGTGCTATGTGAAATTCATGTGTTGCGGCATATATGAGAGGTGACGAGTGCTTATACGCCGTCGAATTACTTATTTTCCCTGATTTTCCACTTTTCCTTACTTATTTCCTTCCATGCCGTAAGTGTTATGTGCTTTAAATGCCTCCCATATTTTATTTGCCGCTTGTTAATCATTGTTTCTCCTGTTAAAAATGTAGACCTTTCCATGCTTTCATGACTCGCTGTTATTTGCCTTAATTGACTTACTTGCACCTTTTAATTATCATTTACTAGACTTGTCTTGCTGTGTAATGTTACATATGTGAATTCTCAAGTTGGTACGAGGTTTCTTTTCTGATTCAGCTTCATATTCATCAATCGTAGAGGTGTTTGTGATTTGGGTTATTGATTTGATTGTATTCACTGAATATTTCATACTGATATGGTGGGATCGCGTTGCACGCCGCAACAAGTGAATAAGGGTTGGTTGATATGGCGAAATAAGGGTGAAAGCACTGATATGGTGGGATCGGGTTGCACGCTGCAACAGGTGAAATAAGGGTGGATTGATACGGCGGAACAAGGGTGAATTATGATAAAATTGTGTTATATGCTGGAATCGGGTTGCGCGTCGCAACATATATATATTTATTTATGATTATTGATATTGTTACGGTGGAATAAGAAAGAATTGTGTTGTATGGTGGGAACGAGTTGTGTGCCGCAACAATCTATGTGTTTCTATCTCCATGCGCCGTGTTGGTATTCGGTGTTTTTCATACGAAACCCTAAGGATTGGTAATTCTGACCTTCATTTGTCTTCTTTGAGGATTGAGATATTTCCTTCAGTTAACTGCCTTATTTCGTTTCGTATTTTCTTTTCCTGTCTTTATTTTATACTGCATACAGATTATAGTGTAAGTGACCCTCCTTTTCCTCGTTACTACTTCATCGAGGTTACGCTCGGCACTTATAGAGTACATTGGGTCGGTTGTACTCATACTACACTCTGCACTTCTTGTGCATATTTTGAAGTCGGTCCCAGCAACCATTAGTGGGTCCCAGCAACCATTAGTGTGCTCGGGTTAGCTAACAGTATGGAGACTTGAGGTACAGCTGCTCGGCGTCCGCAGCCCCTAGAGTCCCCTTCCCTTTTTATTAGCTGTGTATTTTCTCACAGACAGCTCTATGTTTTATTCAGACATTTTTTTGTACTATCCTAGTAGCTCGTGCACTTGTGACACCGGGTCAAGGGTTGTATTAGATATTTCAGTTGTTATGGCTTCCGCATATTACTTTAGATTACTACAGTTATTTCAGCTTCTTTTTTATCGTTTAATTTGAACTTTTGAAAATGAATAAATTGTTCTAACGTAGCTTGCCTGGCAAGTGAAATATTAGGCGTCATCACGATCCCAAAGGAGGAAATTCCGGGTCATGACACTTTTGGGCACCAAGTTAATGACTATATTGTTCATAGCCCTCAGCATCTTCCCCGTGGAGAAGAATTCTAACACAGCCTCAGTCAAGCCTTCACCAACTATCCCCCAAGTATATTTGAAGAATTAGCTTCCAAAGCCATCAGGCCCTTGTGATTTATCTCCTCCAATAGCTCATAGAGCCTGCTTTACTCTTTGCCAGTAAATTTTGCCACCATCTTATCTCTCCGTACTTGTGAGACTGTTCGTCCTCTCCTAACCAGATCACTACGCACATGTTGTCTCCCTTCTTTATTAGTACCCAGTAAATCAATGTAGAAATTGATAAATGCCTTGAATTGCTGTTTTGCTCGACATCCTAATGATTTTGTCCCCTCCTTCTAGCCTGCGATTTTCTAGTCATCTTCAGCTTCCACTAATAGGAGAGCTCAATATTTTAGAGAGAGAAAGTCTAAACTTCCATAACATTCGCATGTATATACACTAACTCCAAGAAAAATGTAGTCTAAAATCATATTTGAGTTACAAAAATATGTTTTGGTATTTCGTAAAAGATATCATTTTTTTCAGGAATCTTTTACTTGGAATTTTCAGAAAATGAGAGAAAACAAGGATCATATTATAGAAAAGAACCTAAATTGTAAATTGATATGAAGTTCCTACCATTAGGACTTCTTTTTTACTTTTCCTAAAGAGACAACTCTTAACCGACATTGTGTCTTTCTCTTATTTTTGCCCATCTGGATGACCCAAATCATTTCCTTCAGTAATGTATTTTTGTTTAAATCTCATTGGTATATATTTATAGTTTCCCATAATAATATTGGTAATGACTTTCCTTCATTCCCTCAACTTTTGTCTTACAAAGAACTATCAGTGAGAACGATAGAGTTAGGATTTTAATTGTTATTAATACTAATTCTGTAGTAGTAAAACAATTCAAGTATGCGTACGTACTTAGGTAGATTATTGAAGTTTAGAAGGAAATTTTGGTGAGATCGGCTTTAATAAACGTATCTCATATCCTTTCAAACTTAATATTAAAATGATAAACTTACTGAACCGAAATATTTTGTGTCAATTCCAATTCAGAATTGAACCCATCTCCTTTCTAGGAAGCCTCTTGAAGTCTGAGGAAAGAAGGAATGATTTAATTATTAATTTAAAACTTTTAATGACACCAAATACCTAAGAATTAACGCAACATGAATATTTTCTTTATTAGCAATACTTTTGTCCCACTAATTTTAAAACGTATAACGTGTCAATAATGAACTTGCAATCAGCACTTTAATCAACATGCACTTAAGATTATCATAATACTGACTTTTGTTTTGTAAGGTGGAGAGATGAATTATGGACCACTATTTCCAACTTTTTTCCAATTTTTTAAAATGAGTAATTACATGTGCGTAAATCTTTCGTACTTGTATATATAGCATCCATTTGTTATCAACTCCAAAATGATCAATCACTTAATATATATATATATATATATCGTGTATAAAACACCTAAAGGGCTAGTTATAAGAAATGGGAAAGTATGAGTTGTTAATGGTGATATTGTCGATGGATATAATAGTGAGTGGAGGGAGGTTTGATGGAGGAGGATATGGGTTCGTAGATGGTCTGAGAATGGAATACTACATGATGAGTTGCCCATTTGCAGAGGGAATAGTGAAAAACACTGTCAATAGGCATTTGCAAGCTGATCCCACTCTTGCTGCTGCCCTTGTTAGGATGCACTTCCATGATTGCTTCATTCAGGTTACTTCTAATTCTCTCCTTTCTATATTATCATATGTACGTCTTGTTTTTGGAGAATCACTTTTATTTTAATAAATAGAGAAAACTAACTAATTTCTCACTTTAATATACAATAATATACCGTTACGTACGTCCATGCATGAGACGTGAGATTTGTGTTCAATCTATGTAGTAACAACAATTTTTACACTACTTTATCATATTAGTATTATTTTATCACTTAGGCTAGGCATTATCCGAAATTATTTTTCTTCTCAACACTTTTTTTCTTCTCTTGATGATTTGCTTCAGGTACGGATTTTTTTCTTTTGCATAATAAGTTACTTAGTTTTAGGATAAATGTATTGAATTCAAATTTCTGTTAGATTTTTTAAGTTGGTTGAGATATTTTAGGTTTTATAAATTCTTCTTATACAGATTTTCTACAGATTATGTTCTTAAGTTGGCTATTTAAAGCCCTCTATGTTTAATAAAAAAGTAGAGACATTTTTCAATCAATACTTTCAATCTTTTTGTGCCCTATCTTTTAAAAACCCAACAGTTGTATCGAAGATTCATTGGTCTTAGTGGATCTATGAGTTCTTCTAAAGAACCATTTTCAAATCATTTTTAACCAATATCAACTTTTAAAACCCATTTTCAACATGGCAAGCAGCAGTCTCTCTTTGAATGCCCCCACAAACTTTCACTGGTAAAAACTATCAGATTTGGTCAGTGAAAATAAAATCATATCTCGAAGCCTATGATCTATAGGAAGTTATAATGTAATATAGGCCATTACAACCACACAAATCCTACTCTTGCCCAAATTAAAAACTATTGAGAAAAAACAAAAAATACAAAGCCAAAACTGTGATTCAAAATTCAATTGCAGATTTAACTTTTTCTAAAATCATTAAATGTGAGACAGCAAAAAAAGCTTGGGAAAAGCTTAAAAAGGAGTACCAAGGAAGTGATCGAGCCAGCCAAATACAGATTTTAAATTTGAAAAGGATTTTTGAATCTCTTAAGATGCAAGACGAGACTATCACTAGGTATTCTGATAGGATTTCGTCTATTGTTAATAAAATCAAGTTTCTTGGTGAGGATTTCAAAGATGATAGAATAGTTGAAAAATTCTTATGACGGTTCTAGAGAGTTTCGAGTCCAAAATTTTCTCTCTAGAAGATTCTAAAGATCTCTCTACCATCTCTGGTGCAGAATTAATAAGTGTTCTTCAAGCACAAGACAAAGAAGAGCATTTAGACAAGAAATGGTTACTAAATGTGCTTTTTATGCACAAAACAAAAAAAGAAAAGGTCAATTATCCTCTTTGCAAATACTGCAAAAAGAAAACACACCTAGAAAATTTTTGTTGGTGGAGACATGATGCAATATGTGGTATTTGCAAACAAACAGGTCATGTTACAAAAGTGTGTAAGTTCAAAGATATTCAACACAATCCTCAAGCACAAACAGCAGAAACAGTAATTGAGGAGGAGCAATGTTTTAGAGCAACTGAAGCAAAGGAGGAGTATTGATGATTTGCTTCAGTTACTGTTGCATTTTTTTTAGCGTAATAAGTTACTTAGTTTTAGGATATATATACTTTTCGAATTTAAATTTCTGTTAAATTTTTTAGGTTTAGTGAGGTATTTTGGATTTTTAAAATTCTTCTTATGCAGATTTTATGTTCTTAAGTTGGCTATTTAAAGCCCTCTATGTTTAATACTCCCTCCGTTCCAATTATGTGAACCTGTTTGATTGGGCACGAAGTTTAAGAGAAAAATAAAACTTTTAAAATTTGTGGTCCTAAATAAGTGAGAATATTTGTATGACTATAATTCTTTTGAAACTTGTGGTGGTAAACATGCCAGAGTATTTGTGCGATTATAAAAGCTTCTCATTAAGGATAGAATTGGAAGTTTAAGCTAAATTGTTTCCAAATTTAGAAAGGGGTCATTCTTTTTGGAACGGACCAAAAAGCAAATAGGTTCACATAAACTGGAACGGATATAGTAAAAAAGTAGGTACATTTTTCAATTAATACTTTAAATCTTTTTACTGTCCATCTTTTAAAAAAACCAACATCTTCTTACATAAATTGTTTTGGTGTTTGATGGAAAATAGGGATGTGATGCATCTGTGTTAATAGATTCAACAAAGGGTGGTAAAACAGCAGAAAAGGACTCGCCAGCAAATTTGAGCTTGAGAGGCTATGAAATCATTGATGAAGCCAAGGAAGAGCTCGAAAATCAATGCCCTGGAGTCGTCTCTTGTGCTGATATTCTTGCCATGGCTGCCAGGGATGCTGTCTTCTTTGTAAGATAGATACATTATATTATGATATTCTTAGATAGATACATTATATTATGATATTCTTAGATCTCTTACAATTCTATTGGAATATTGAATAATATTGTTATATGATAGGCTGGAGGTCCAGTGTATGACATACCAAAAGGAAGAAAGGATGGAAGAAGGTCAAGAATAGAAGACACAATCAATCTGCCTTCTCCTGCTCTCAATAGTTCTGAGCTTATCAGAATATTTGCCCAACATGGTTTCAGTGCTCAAGAAATGGTGGCCTTATCAGGTACAATAAAATATTCTTAATGCTTCTTGACTAATGTCATATCAGGCGCGCTTGCTTTTGTTTTTGTCCCATTTGTCCTCTATCACAAGTTCACAACTAGATCTAAATCTTCGCTCCCCTGATTATTATTACTAAAAAGAAATTGTGTCAAATTTATCAATCAATTATCCGAAATTGAGTAACTTTGTTTCCGTTTAATATATAAGTCTCGATATTGCCCTTGATCCCTAAGGGAGCTCATATCTAAGGGTAATTGTAATAATTGAGGGGTATATTTGGACATTTTCCGCGAAGAATTTGGACATGTGGAAGTCCACCAATATTAATAAAGTTGATTATTTGTCATGTATAGGCGCACATACACTGGGAGTGGCAAGATGCTCATCATTCAAGCACAGATTGAGTAACTTTGACTCCACACATGATGTGGATCCAACTTTGGACGCCCAATTTGCGCAGACTCTGTCCAAAACATGCGGTGGTGGAGACAAGTCTGAGCAGGCCTTTGACACCACAAAGAACGATTTTGACAACGACTACTTTAATGCATTGCAAAGGAAGAGTGGTGTCCTTTTCTCTGATCAAACACTTTACAATAGCCCTAGGACTAGGGGGATTGTGAATGGTTATGCCTTTAATCAAGCCATGTTCTTCCTTGATTTCCAACAAGCCATGGTTAAAATGGGTTTACTTGATGTCAAAGAAGGGTCCAACGGGGAAGTACGCAGCAACTGCCGTATCATCAATTGATATTATTATTCGTATAGATGTAATGTTGGTTGTCTGTTTGGTCCATAATATGTATGTTCTGTTGTTAAATTTCTCTCTGGTTCAACAATATGTGGGTTTCAAAAGGAAAATTGAGTTTGTATCTCAGAGAATAAAATTAATGTGAAATAGTCTTATGGAAAAAGTTCCACTATGATCACAAAACAATCTTTTCACTTTTGCCGGAAAAATAAAAAGAAACGAAAAAAAGACCAATACATGAATTCATCTGGCTCTACCTTCAACCCGAGTCTAAGCCTTGCCACTAGCAAAGCCAAACGGGTTTTAAAATGTATAAGGTCAAGTGAAGCAAAACGAATAGTGATAACTGATAACTGATAATTTATGTAATCAACCAAACTGACTTGAGACCATATTAGCTTAGCTGTTTACAAACGAGAAATCCTTGTTACCACAAACTTGAATAATACATATTCCATTAACTAGCGGAGACCCTGGGTATTGGTTCTCTAATTCAGCTGTTTGACCGTTCTTTGGTACATCGAAATCATATTTTCTGAAACTGTAACACCATATTATAACAACAGTATTGCCTCAAATGTCCCAGGTGTAGCAATACTTAATGCCCAAAGTTAGTTCTCCTCATCATCCTCATGAAGTCATCAACATTAACCTCTCCATCACCTGCAATATTTACAGCCAAGAGTTCCTCAATATATTCTGTAACATGCAGCAACAGATTCAGGGGAAACGGAAAAAAAAATTAGAACATCCCCTCCCTCCCTCCTGACCAAGGGGAGAGACAGAGCGGTGCAGAACTGTGAGTTAAAGTCAAATTCAGCAACACCCAAAGAGAAGTTGAAATAAGGCTGCACACTCACCCTAAGAGAAGGAAAGAGAAAGAGGATCACACTTCCTAAAAGAATGAGGTGAGCTAAATTCTGATAGACTCTAATATGCCAGAGCTCAACGTCATATTCCGCCAAAAATGAAGTGAGCTAAATTATGAAGGACTCTAATACTCTAGAGGTCACGTCAAGAACATGATAAACTAGAAAAGGTTATAAAGAATAATGAAGGTTGAAAACATACAAAAGACAAAAGGCTGGAGTACTATGTATATATAACCTAAGTCATGGCATGCCGATGAACAGTACAAGAGTTGTGAGGTTCACTAATCAGCCAGTAAGATTTTACCAAGTGGAACTGCCTGGAGATAAGTAGTCCTGCAACATATTTTCAAAAACATTGACCTTGTTTACTGTTATCTTATAGCTACGCTATTATTGAAATGCGTGCAGATCCCTCAATCGCATCACATGCAATAGTTTAGTGTTCGAAGGCATAATATCCACTAAAACCCCCATGGATTTTATCATCAACTTGATGAGTTAATTTCAAGATAGTTCATGAAACATTACATCAATCAACAATTCTACAGCAAATTGAATATTTATCTCGAAAAAAATAAAGTACAATGTCCTAAGATTAGAATTTTAATGGAAATAGGACTCTCAAAAATTACATGGTATTAGTATACAGCATCTGTTTCGGAGTTAGTCACAGTAACATATACAAACAATATAAGATCTTAATGTATTTGTAGCAAAGAGAAACTCAGGGGAAGACAAACATTAGACAAGGTCAACAACTAAGGTTTGGAAAAGATAGACTTTCTTCTTAGTACGTCTGTTATATTATCCTAAACAACTGGTAATATATATTAAGATGTCAATTTTTGGAATTTGGGTATAGCAGTTCTTGGATTAGCTAGGTCTTTTCAGAAGCTCCACCAGTAAAATATCTTAAATACCAACATATATTGAAACAAGTAGAAGCACTAAAGCATAAAGAGGAAAACTAGATAATAAAGCCTAACTTACGATCTTGATCTGCCGCTTCTATCATCTCCTGGATTTCTCTGTCAGTAAATCGCTCCCCCAACTCATCGGCGATTCTTTGAATGTCTGCAAAAGAGATCTTCCCCTGCATTTAAATTATCTGATGATTAGTAACCAACCGAAAAGAACAACTGAACTGTCAGGAAGACAACCAAATAAGCAGAAAGCAGGAGGGCAAGAAAAAGCAGGCACATTTTTATCTTGATCAATAATGTCAAATGCTTTCTTGAGCTCCTCTTTAGTATCCCTTTCTCCAAACTTGGCAGTCATCATGTGCACAAATTCATCAAAATCAATTGCACCACTGCCATCCTTGTCAACTTCTGCAATCATTCGATTGATCTCCTGGAATAACAAACAAAGAGATCATGAGTGCACTAACACATATGAGAAGACCTGACAAGGGCAGAAAAGAAGAAGATAAACTAAAACCAAGTTTTAAGCCAGAAATAGACAATGTGACACGATGGAAAGGCTCCAAATTAACACAGTGCGCGCGCGCGCATGAGAGAGAGAGAGAGAGAGAGAGAGATCGGA